GAACCTGGGACCCTTCAGTCCGCAGGCCGACGCTCTATCCACTGAGCCAAACCGGTTTTGGCTAGCTGAGGATTTTTAAAAAATATATATTTTTATTGATTTCAGAGAGGAAGGGAGAGGGAGAGAGATATAGAAACATCAATGATGAGAGAGAATCATTGATCGGCTGCCTCCCGCACGCCCCCTATTGGGGATTGAGCCTGAAAACTGGGCATGTGCCCTTGACTGGAATCGAACCTGTGACCTTTCAGTCTGCAGGCCGACACTCTATCCACTGAGCAAAACTGGCTAGGGCAGGATGTTTTTGAGATACCTAAGTGGAGAGGTCAATCAAGTGGCTCAGAGGAGGGTATGGGAGTCATCAGTAACCAAAGCTCAGAGTGGGGATGAAACAATCCTAGAAAAAATAGGCTGAGAAAGAACAGGACCCAGAGAAACTTTTAGATTTAAAGGCTGAAGGTGGGAGGGGGGAGGAGGGGTGTGGGAGTGAGCCTGCAAAGGAGGCTAAGAAGCTTTGGCCAAAGAGGTAGTAGTTAAAGTATGTGAGTGGAATCGCAGATGCTAGGGGAAGACTGTTGATGAGAAACTAGTCAATACTACCAGATGCTACTGAGAAGGAAAAGTAAGCTGAGGACTGCGAAATAGCCAGAGTTTAGGAATGTGGAGGTCACCTGGTGAGCCAGTGTGACCTCAGTATGAACTATTTCAATAGAATAAAGGTTGTAGAAGTCAAAACAGACTGGGTGGCCCTGGCCAATATGACTCAGTTGATAGAGCACTGAAGGGTCATGGGTTCAATTCCCAGACAAGGGCACATACCTGGGTTGCAGGTTTGATCCTGAGCCCCAGATGGGGCATGTGCAGGAGGCAACCAATCTATGTTTCTTTCTCTCTCTCTTTGCCTCCCTTCCTTCCACTCTCTCTAAAAATCAATGGACCCCTAATCGGTTTGGCTCAGTGGAAAGAGCGTCGGCCTGGGGACTGAAGGGTCCCAGGTTCGATTCCGGTCAAGGGCATGTACCTTGGTTGCGGGCACATTCCCAGTGGGGAGTGTGCAGGAGGCAGCTGATCGATGTTTCCCTCTTATATATATACACTTTAAAAAATCAATGGAAAAAATATCTTCAGATGAGGATTAACAAAAAACAGACACCAGACTGGGTGGAGGAATGGGATGGAGAGAGCCAAAGTATTCAACTGCTTTCAGTATAAAGTGGAAAAACAGGTTGGTAGCTGGAGAGGAAATGAGGTACAGAGTGGTTTGTTTTTCTATCAAGGGAGTGTTTAGCATGTTTAAACACTGATGAGAATTTAGTAAAGTGGGGGAAAGTCAGCCATTCCCAAAGAAGGAAGGACAAGGTTCCAGGGCACAGGAATAGGCACTGGCCTTAAGAAGAATGCTGGGCCTGTTTAGACAGTTCAGAGGAGAAAGATGCAGATGTAGGTGGGTGACCAGATGTGAGAGTTCTCAGCTGACAGCTTTACGCAGGAGAGATGACTGGAAAAATCCAGTGGGATTATAGGGACTCAGACTCCATTTGAAGTTGGTAACCATGGACCTATAGTAATATAAATCTGCTTTATAGTGATTTCATTGGGTGACCAAATGCAGACAGACAAATGTTTCATTTTATCTATGCATCCAAAAGAGATGAAAGGTAAGGAAACACAGTCTATTCCAAGAGAATCACTAGAATTTAAGTTCGATAGGAATCCAGAGAAGGTAGAAGCAATGGCCTGACTGCCCCAGTGACTCAAAAAATGATAAGGAATAGTTCAATCAAGTGAAAGGAATATGGTCAGTGAATAAGATGCAAGTAATAGTGTTTTGAAGATAAGAGCAGTTGGGGGTGAAGACAATGGCCAGGACATAACTATGGGAGTGGATGCCCAAGAATGTGGAAATCGCTAGATTGTGTCAGAGAACTAAGAGACCAAAATACTGGAGTGTCCACATAAACATAAAAGTATCAATGAGTGGACAGGAAGACTAAGGGGTAGCTCCTTAGAGGAATGTAGGAGAGTGGTAGTTACTAAGGACAAATAACGAGAGGGTGGTATACTTGGATAGCCTCAAAGGTGCAGGAAGCCACCCATTGTCTTCACTAGCAGAGAAGTGCAAACAAGGATCCCGAACGCTGGTGAACTTTGAACCCATGGCAAGGGCCAGAGTTATGCACCGACAGGTAGTCCAGACAATGGGGGCTCAAGTTATTTCCTGATCAAATAGTCTCAGAGTAAATCCTCTAGTATTTACTGACCTTTAAGATAGTCTGTCTGCTACCAAAATTGCCTGCCTGCCTAAGGGCTTTATGTGTATCCAAAGTTGAATAAAATGTTGGCGAAGCCTGGGCACCAGTAGAAGTCCTTCCCCTTGAGTTGGGCTTGCCCGCCTGGCCCCCAATATTTCCAAATTATTTCTTGTTTCGTCTCTTTCATTTGCATGTGGCCCCTCCTCCAGATCCTGAACCCTGAACCAGGCGGGATGTGGGGGAACATTCACAAAAGGAATCAGACTTTGCAAAGGAATGGGCAGTTATGCTCTGAAGCCAGAATGGACAGGAAGACTAACCCCCTCTCCAATGTCTGTGGTAATCAGATAAAGTTTTGTCAACATTTATTCTCATTGTGCTTGAAACATCACATGTGCTCATTATGCCAATGGCAAGACCTGAGGGAGACTCCAGCAATAATGGAAGATGGATGGTAGGAATAAGGTTCTTATAAATATTAAGAGAAAAGAAACAGGACAGAAGAGATTGGAAATTTAAGAAAGGGACTAATTGATGGAGTAGACTGAGGGACATTTGTTTCTCCATGCCTGGGGAGAGGTTTGGTACAGATAAATAAGCAAATAGCTCTGGAAGTTCAAAGGCCTTCTATGTTCCTAGCCCTTCTCCAGTAATTATTAATTACATGACTTGGAAACACAGATCATTCATAATCATATGGCAGTTTAATTACAAGGAAGTCTGTTGCAAAGACACCCACAAATGTTGATGTGGAAGAATCCTTCCACCAGCAGTACAATATCCTGGATCCCCATTTCCTTGTGTCTGGAAATTGGGAAGTTCACAAGCTGATTTCCTGCATTTATACTTTCCAAGGAAAGAATTTTATTGGGTAGATATGAAGCCACTTGGTAAGGAAGTTCCTGGCCAGCAACTTTTACTTTCTAATAAACCTTTCTATTTAAGATTTGTTCATGGGACAGCAGCTAGCTAAAAGGCAAAAAGTAATAGGAGCCACTTTTCTCAACAGGTGACTATGTATATAAGATGTGCTTCTAGTACATTCTGGATTCTTGCTTCCTCATCTGTTAAGAGGGGGGATAATACCTCTTACTTGTACTTTGTCATAAAGATTAACTAAGGTAAACCATGACATATACCAACATCAGAACCTATACAAAGTAGGGGCTCAATAGATATAATTTTGAGAGGTAGCCTGTTCTAGTATAAAAACAAAAACATGGATTTTACAGTCAGATCTGTTTGTGGTTTTTTTTAGAGAGGAAAGGAGAAACATTGATTTCTTGTTCCACATATTTATGCACTCATTGGTTAATTCTTGTATGTGCCCTGTCTCAGGATTGAATCTCCACCTTGGCCCATCATTGCTGGAGTCTCCCTCAGGCCTTGCCATTGGCGTAATGAGCACATGTGATGTTTCAAGCACAATGCTCTAACCAACCGAGCTACTTGGCCAGGGCAAGTCAGATCTGTATTTTAATACAGGGTCTACTATTAGAGAATTTCAAACTCCTGAGCTACACGAGGGAGAAAACTGTGTGCTTTGTGGGTGGTTGTAGGAAGTTATTTTTATTATTGTGGGAACCAATGTCTAAGAGCTTCCATTTCCACTGTAAAAAAATGAAACATGGTCAGTTGATGGGGAATAGTTGAGGGTGAGGTGAAGGATTAAGGAGAGCAGTAAGGTGTAATAACTGCCATGTTAAGGACAGTGAATAGACCAGGAACCCACAAAGGGTTGCTTGTTGGTAATGATGGCTTGGTTGAGGTTGGAACCTTAAAGACTTAGTGACATTCATTACACAGCTGTGTTTTTCTCTAGCAGTTTGAATGGAGGAACAGAAAAGATTAAAGAGCTGGAATGATACAAAAGGACACAAGAGCAGCAAGAAAATGTGGTGATGGAGTGATAGGTCATTCACACTGTTGAAAGCAGAAGTAAATTCCACAAAGGGGAGGAAATAAAAAGAATGGATAGGTGGGGACTAGAAATCACAGAACAGGCAGAGTGGGAACGTGGGGTAAAGGTGGAAGAGCTGGAATTAGATTATAAATAAGCAGTGAGACAGAAGTAACATTAAAGAAGTCCCATAGATTTTGCTTATCCCTTCCTTTCCACAACCATCACCATCACTTCTCTCTTGGATTTCTTTATCTCAAGCCTGACCATATTGCAGAATATGGGCTCTCAAGTTTCCCCCTTTCTGATCACCCCTGAAGCAAAAAAAAAAAAAAAAAAGTCTTCTTAGAAAATAGTAAAGAAGTAACAACTTGGGGATATGGTTAAAGTTTCAGAACATTCAGAATTCTTATAGGTTTCATCTGTTCTGGAGTTACTGATTTATAAGGAGGTAGTCCCCAAAACCCTGTTGTCCTTAGATGTCTCCTCTTTTCTCTAAATCTAGCAGAATTCCCTCTTGCAAGACACAATCCACACACAAAAAGTTATGAATGAATGCATACCCAGCTCACAAGTGAGCCATTAAAGTCAAGACAGATTTTATTTAATGACAGCTAAACGGAGCTCCTATTTTCTCTGACAACTTGGGGATATGGTTAAAGTTTCAGAACATTCAGAATTCTTATAGGTTTCATCTGTTCTGGAGTTACTGATTTATAAGGAGGTAGTCCCCAAAACCCTGTTGTCCTTAGATGTCTCCTCTTTTCTCTAAATCTAGCAGAATTCCCTCTTGCAAGACACAATCCACACACAAAAAGTTATGAATGAATGCATACCCAGCTCACAAGTGAGCCATTAAAGTCAAGACAGATTTTATTAATGACAGCTAAACGGAGCTCCTATTTTCTCTGTCATCTGGCCAGGACTCGCCTTCCTGTTGCTATTACCAACCTTAAAAAATTGCATCCACACACCTCGGTTTAACCAGGTACCTGGGGAATGAATGCTGAGGTTTTCCTTCTACACATAGAAGGCAATTTCCCTGCTGCCAGGGTTGAAGCCAGCAGATACGCACTGACAAATAAAGGATGGTGCTAGTCAAGTGGGCAGAGCTTCTCCGCCCAGAACACAAACCAAACAGAATGAAAGCGGGTTTATTAGCTCCAGAAAAAGGAGCAACAGTACCCAGCTCCAGGCAACTCCTCACTCTCTATACGGGCTGCACCCAGCCTAAGGTCCACTGGCTCCTTCAATGTGAGGGTCCATCCAGTGCCTCCCTTCCTGGGTTGGGGATGGCTAGCTGCCTGTGGGCGAGCTTCCCGGCTGTTCAGCAGCAGCCCCTGGCCCAGCGGAGGCAGCCTCGTAGTCTGCGATGCGGCGCTGCACCAGGGCAGGCATGAGCTGCACATAGGCGGCCATGAGGCGGTGGTTGGAATGGATCAGCTTCCCAGCACAGCTGTGCAGGCAGGCCTCCTGGAGGGAAGACAGGGTGGAGGCAGAGGCCAAAGGTGGCCTGTCAGGTGCGTCTCCTGTCTTCCCCTTCCCAGCCTAGGGGCGAGGGTAAAGGAAAGACTCGGCCAAAGGCTGAAGGGAAGTGGGGGGAGGAGGAAGGCAGTCGCGGTTAACTCGGAGGAAGAAGAGTGGATCCCTACTCGGTTCCCCACCTCCTCAGCATCCAGGGCCCGGTGGTGCAGGCTGGGCACGCAGCGCTGGAAGCAGAGTTCCGTCATCCGATTGTAGACCAATAGGAAGTCCCGCAACTGGAAGAGAAGGGGACCAAGGACTCAGCGACAAGGGGGCCCACACCTCAATTCTGGGCCGCGCCGCCTCGGCGTTTCCCAGGACCGCGCACCACGGCCCATGTCCCCAGACCTTGGCCCCCTGGCTCTCCGGGGTCCCGCCCTGCGGACGGGGATGCGAGCTGAATGTAAGGTCCCGAAGCCACTTCTAGCTGCTACTCACGTTTCTCAGCTGCTGCTGATGCTGCTGCTCCATCCCGCCCCAGGAGCACGCCCGCCCTTACTTCCGTTTCAGCGTCTCGGTCACGCCCCGGAAGTAATCTTCGGTAGCTTTTCTCGAGAACTGAAGGGTTGGTTCAAGGATCGCCCTGCCCCCAGCTTAACGTCACTTCCGCCCTTACAAACTGCGACGTGGCCGGCTTCTTCTGCCCGGGCGGGGACGTCACTTCCGCCGAATCCCTGACCTGCTGCTAGGATCGCGACGGGAACGGGAGCCCGAGGTCCCCGCGCGGACCGGGCCTGGCGCCCCGAGGGGAAGAGCAGCCCAGCCCGAGGTGAGAGGGGCGTACTTAGTCCAGTGGAAGTTGAACGCATGAACCTGTCCTGAGGGCAAGATACCTCTGAGCTCAGGGAAGGATGAGGACACACCTGATGCCCAGGTGTATGGGGTGGGGGTGGGGGGATAGGGAAACACACCTGGGGAGACATAACTGACTTTGGAAGGGTTCAACTCTATCCTGGGAAAAAGAGGCTTTTCCCAGAGGCCGAGAACATATACCAACTGATTCAACTAAGGCCTGGTGGAGAGGGCGAGGAAGAGAAGGTGCATGGGGTGGAGGAGGGGGAGATCACTTGAAGGAAAGGGGGAGACACACCAAAGGAGTGTGCAAGGTCAAGCCCTGGGTGACATACCTGAGCCCTGGAAAGGGGTTCATCTCCTGATGGGAAGAAACACCTGCATGGGGATAAGCTCCAAGAGAATACAGACTGTATCCATTTTGTTCACTGCTGTATTTCCAGGGCCTCAGATAGTGCATGGCACATAGTAGGTACTCAGTGTCTGTTGAATGATTGAATGCATGAATGATCACGGAGTTCTGGTGGGGTTGGAGAGTCAGGAGAAGACACCTGAGGCCTGGGTGTGCATGTGTAAAACTATGCACCTTGGAGGGGAGAGATACATATGCTACCTGACAAAAGGAGTGGCAGCCAAATCACTCAAGCCCTGGGAAAACCTTTAAAACCTCAGAAATGGTTGGGGGGACCTTTCTCTTCTGGAGACCTGGCCAGTTTCCAGAACTGTCTGTGTTGGGCTTTGCAGGGCGCTGGGGTGGAGACATTGACTCCGGTCCCTTCCCTAGCCATGACGGACGGGATCCTAGGGAAGGCAGCCACAATGGAGATCCCCATCCATGGGAATGGCGAAGCTGGGCAGCTTCCCGAAGATGATGGTCTGGAGCAGGTGCTTCTGTTTGATTTTTCTCCTTATTGTCTCATTTTAGGAATCCCAACTCATAAACCCTGGGCTCTCTATTTTAGTCGCCTTCCCTAATTTATCTAACTCCCTTCAATCTCTTTACAAATTTTCGTTTTGATTCTGTGCAGACTTCCCTTGTGTGCTCTCTCTATGATGCTTCAATCCAAGCTTGTTCTCACCCCCAAAATGCTTCAGCTGCCCCTATGTTCCTGAAGCCCCCCTCTTCTCTGGCCTATAGGACCTCCAGCAGGTGATGGTGTCAGGACCCAACCTCAATGAAACCAGCGTTGTGTCTGGTGGCTATGGGGGCTCTGGTGATGGACTCATCCCCACAGGTATGAATGATCAGACCAGGACGGGGAGCTTGGATGAGAATGGGGAGAGGAATGGTTCTGGGGAGCATAGGCTATGTCTGAGAAAGCTTGAATTATCTTGGGAGATCTTGGAAACTCCTGCTAGTGTGAACCCTATGGAGTCCTCACCCCAAGGCCAGTTCCCAGGGTTGTCCAACTGCTCCCATTTGCCATTTCCCCTGAGGTGCAGCCTTTTTCTCTGCTGCCACCACCTGAGTCACGTTAGGGACACTTCCACAGAAGTTTCCCCTGCTCTAGAGCTTGATGCTGATTTGGATCTTTTTTAAAAAAAATATATTTTATTGATTTTTTACAGAGAGGAAGGGAGAGGGATAGAGAGTTAGAAACATCGATGAGAGAGAAACATCGATCAGCTGTCTCCTGCACACCCCCTACTGGGTATGTGCCCGCAACCAAGGTACATGCCCTTGACCGGAATCGAACCTGGGACCTTTCAGTCCGCAGACCGACGCTCTATCCACTGAGCCAAACCGGCTATGGCTGATTTGGATCTTTATGAGGCTTCTCAGAGTTGGTACTTTAGACTCTAAAATTTAGAAGAATAAACAGCCCTGAACCTCACAGACTGTGATACCACATGGGAATGTCAACCAGGCTTCCTGTTATCAGGACCCACCATCCTTGACCTCCTAGCCCACCTTCTGTGTATTTCCTTCTGTTTCCTCTGCCCGTATCCACCTCCCTCCCCCTCTAATCCCCACCACCACCTCAGAGGAGGCCAGATGTATATTGGGATTTGGGTTTCAGGGCACAAGATATGAGTTCCTCCTAGTGAGTAGGAGAATCTAATTGTCTCTAGCTTCTGCTCCTTCAGGAAAGTCCTTTTCAGGTGCTGGGAGGGAAGAATGGGTGGAGCCACAGAGGTGTCTGGTTGTATCTGAGAGAGGCTGGTGTCAGAGAACTTGGTCCTTTAGGGTCTGGCCGCCATCCATCTCACAGTGCCACTCCTGCTAGCCCTGGAGATGAGGTGGCTCGGGGCATCGCTGGAGAGAAGTTTGACATCGTCAAGAAATGGGGCATCAACACATATAAGGTGGGATTCAAGCACCTCTCCCTTCCCCGCAAACTCCCATGGGTACCTTTCCCCTTCTCCCAGATCCTAATATTCCATCTATGGCTGAGACTAGGAGTCTGGGTATACTGTGGTACATACTTGTTGTGGGGGCAGGGTGCTAGGGTCTCTGACTGCTTCCCCCACTTCCCCATCAGTGCACAAAGCAGCTGATATCAGAGCGATTTGGCCGAGGCTCTCGGACTGTGGACCTGGAGCTAGAGCTGCAGATTGAGTTGCTGCGTGAGACGAAGCGCAAGTATGAGAGTGTCCTGCAGCTGGGCCGGGCACTGACAGCCCACCTCTACAGCCTGCTGCAGACCCAGCATGCACTAGGTGACGCCTTTGCTGACCTCAGCCAGAAGTCCCCAGAGCTTCAGGTGCCTCGGCCAGGCCAACGAGGGTGGGGGGACTGGGCCCAGGCCCTCCCAGGCAGTCACCCCTCAGCCTCCCTCCCTCCCTCCTGCAGCCCAGAGGGAGAACCCCTACAGGGTGGGCCCAGCCCTGCCCCCAGCAGCACTCACCTGTGGAGGCAGCTTAAGGGTTTGTACAGAGGTCCAGAAGTTGGAGGGGCTGTGGGAGGCGGCACACTGGGTGCCTCACAAGTAACCCTTCTCTGCATTTGTGAGAATGCCTTTGATGCTCAGCCTAATCCGAGCCCCTCCCTTGCCTGCTGCACTAGCTTTCTCTGTTCTAGTCCTGTGAACTTATCTGAGAACCCCACTCCCACATTCCCACCCCAGGCATCCCCAGGGTGGCCCCACTAACTTTCTGGCTAAGAGAGCCTTGCTGGAGGCAGTCCTTGGTCGTTCCAGTTTTGATGGCTGCTTCCTCCCTGGGGAAGAGGGGAATGAAGGGCCCTACAGCTCCAGTCAGGTAAGGACTCTTTCTCAAGGCCTGTCCCTCCCTTCTGCCCTCAGGAGGAATTTGGCTACAATGCAGAGACACAGAAGCTGCTGTGCAAGAATGGAGAGACACTGCTAGGGGCTGTGAACTTCTTTGTCTCTAGCATCAACACATTGGTCACCAAGACCATGGAAGACACGCTCATGACTGTCAAACAGTATGAGGCTGCCAGGTGTGGGCACTGGCAGGGCCTAGGGCTTTGGGAGTTGGCTGGCTTGGGTGGAAATTTGAGGTTAGGGTCATAAGAATTCAGGAAGGAAAGGAGAGTGTGGAGGACAAAGGGGTGGAGATGAGCCTATATCACCCCCTCCCCAGGCTGGAATATGATGCCTACCGTACAGACTTAGAGGAGCTGAGCCTAGGCCCTCGGGATGCAGGGACGCGTGGTCGACTTGAGAGTGCCCAGGCCACTTTCCAGGCCCATCGGGACAAATATGAGAAGCTGCGGGGAGATGTGGCCATCAAGCTCAAGTTCCTGGAAGAAAACAAGGTGCCAACCCCACCCCGTTGACCCCAGCCCATCTTCCCATCTGTAACACTGACCCTCCCCCCAGACCCTGCCCATCGTTGGATGGAGTAATGCAGTCTGACTAAGGAGTGGGATCTTTTCTTAGCCCCCTCATCCCCTGGACCTTTCCGGGTCTCCCTCCTTCCAATATCTGGCCCTTTTCTGTTGAAGAGTTGACTGCTGGTCCCAGGATCATGACAGAAAAATCATACCCTGAGTTGTGGTACCAGAACCCCAGCCCCAGCAAATCAAGTCAGGTTTCTCCCATTAGCTTAACCTTTCTCCTTTGATTCCCTTGGTGGAGTTCAAACCCCACCCCCAAAGCACCATCAGAGCAGAATGCATGCACCCCTGGTCTGGTCTCAGGCTCAGCCCCTCAAGAAGGGCATCTGAGTCCAGCCTCAGCTGACCCTCTGGACCCCCAGATCAAGGTGATGCACAAGCAGCTGCTGCTCTTCCACAATGCTGTGTCCGCCTACTTTGCTGGGAACCAGAAACAACTGGAGCAGACCCTGCAGCAGTTCAACATCAAGCTGAGGCCTCCAGGAGCTGAGAAGCCCTCCTGGCTAGAGGAGCAGTGAGCCGCTCCCAGACCAACCTGGCTGTCATAAAGACACTGGGAGGGGCAGTCCCAGGGTGGGGGAGATCGGACATGGGACATCCCTTGCCACCTGCCCTCAGGCGTGGGCTTCTTTCCCCTTGCTGGGGCCTGACACCAGTTTTGCCCACATTGCTGTGGGTAGGGATGGGGCCTGCAGGCCTAGCAGTTGCTGCCCTGTCCCTTATCTTCCTGGCCACTGGGCTTTGTTCCCAGATCTTTTCCTTCCACTCCACAGCCAAAGGCTATGACAAAACCACTCCCTGGCCAATGGTATTGCTCAGGCCTATCCCCAGCTCCTGGGGTGTGCCCCCGACCAATGGCAGAGCCTCAAAAGGCCCTGTCAGCCAAAGGCAGCTCTTCTTGGGCTCCCCTGGGCCAATGATGTTGCCTCCAGTACCCTTTGTCCCTCCT